CACTTGCTGAATACGGGACAGACTTGACTGGAGGAAAGAAGGGGAGAAAGAAAGAGGGAAGAAAAACAGCTGAGAAGAGGGACGGGGGAGAAGGGCAAAAAACAAAAACCAACAGAATGGGCAGAAAAAAAATGCATATATCAATCACCTAGATCACCTGTTGAGAAAAAAAAAGAAAACAAGCAGAAGAGAACAAGAGTAATAGAATAAACAACATCACAATGATATATGGGAATATGACAGTAAATACTAAATATTAAACATTATTGTGCAGCACATAAGATCAACAGAACACAGTGTGCTTTGAGGTAGGAGCCAAAAAGGGTGTAGTTTGTGGGTGTGATCACCCGTGTGTACACCTGTGAGCATGAACTTTATTCAAGTTTCTAAGGTTTGTTTTGTTTTTATGTAAACAAAAAATAAATAACTACATCCAGCAAGACTTGCATTGTAAAGTTGAACACATAAATGCTGTTTTAACATAACACCGTAGTTTTAAACTGGAATAAACCTGGTCATTTATAAACCAGTTGTGAACAGTGAACTTTTTCACAGAGTCATATTTACAAAAATGGATGATAAATTGTAAATAATTGGTTTATTCATTTCTTTGCAGCAAGACAAACTAATTGCCCACCCAGTCTCTCTCTCATGTTAGCATGACACAGCAGAAAAAAACTCCATCATCATGATAGCATTAGCAGTAGTAGAAGTAGTAGGAGTATTTAATCCGACATTTAAATATATTGTCTTTGAGAACGAGATCTCTTTTTGAATACACAAAGACATGTACAGTTTAAGAGTAGACTGATAAACAGACACACATTATTCAAACACACATTATATATGCTCTTAAATTCAGAAAAACTTCACTTTACTTTTTAATATGTTTATGGCAAATCAGTCTCTGTTTAATTTGGTCATCCATGCGCATCTCCTGCTTAAATCAGCACAGAATGAGAGAGAGATGAGGCACTGAAGGAACTCTGAATTGATATCTATTCAACAGCAAAGATGGTGGTAAAGTTTATCTTTTATTTTGGAGCATAGTCAACCATTGTTCCTCTTCAATCAGATTTCACTGGTGATTCTATACATGCAGCTCCTATGACCAGTACAATTAACTTTAATTTAGATACTGCTTCAAAATAATTGCCCAAATAAGTAACCAGAAGTGTTGCAAGGATGGATGCCAAGTTGTGAGAGTAACTTCTTCATGACCTTTGGCGTCATACATAACTGTAGCAGTTATTTGCTCTACCTGTGGTTCATCTCATTATACAAAACAGCCCACCAACAGAATTTGCTATGCACACTACATAAACTTGATACTGTGTTCTCCATAAAGACTGCCTAGTAGGTAAATTTCCACAATAACTCAAATGCTAGTCCCTGAAAACTTCACAGGCTGACAACAGCTCTTCATCTTTGGTCTGTTTGCGTCAGCATACTGCCCCTTCACCTAGTACATAAAGGGGGAAAGGTTAATAACTAATAAACAATAGGCATGTTAGTCATTTCATCTGGTATTGCTCCCTGCAGCTGAGTTTGTAACTACACCGCTCTGTGATAAGATCTGGTAAGTTAATCTCATTTGGTGTTAATTAACAACAGGTGCACTAGAGCGGCAATGATAAACAACCCGTGAATTATGGTGTTTCTGTTCAGGGAAACCTTTTGTGGTCGCAAATTTTTGAAGCCATCATGATAATCTTCTCCCACCAACGATGTGAGATCCAACCCTTTTAGATCCAATTAAAATCAAGACACTCAAAAAGATGCTCTGGAAAAGAGTAGAATTCTTGGAACAGAGTTTAATACACTGAATCATATGAACAGCAGGAAAAATACATACAGACATTTAGCAAGAGAATTACAAAGCAGAAAACAAGCAAAGCAAAACCCCGGGGTGTACAGCCTTAAGCACAGACAGTAGGACAGTAGGTCCTTAAAACATTAGCTGGACAGGTATCTGCTCCTTTGTGCAAGGAGGAACATAAAGAGCATAAATTGATACCGCCAAATGGCCCCAGATTCACCTGAGAGAAAACCAACAGAACACTTCAGGGACAATATATTTCTGTCCATGTGATGCCACCAGGTTGCAACTCAGGCTGTCCAGGAGCTCAGTATGCAGGGGTCCAGACCTGGGAGTTCCCCCAGGATACCTCCCAGTTACCAGTTGCTCCATGATTTCCACCCCCCTTGACAGCTTATGTTATATTTGCTAAGTACTGTAAGCAGTGTCTGAAAGAAATGAAACAGTTTTTCTGATATGTATTCAACCAAAGACAGGGTGGAATTCCTTGGCTATCTAGTTAGTTATAGTAATTCTTCTGGGTGTTTTGTCTATGCAGATATAAAAAAAAAAAATGTATTATACTTACCTTAATTACAATATATTTAAGTAATTTTATTGAAATTGTTGTAATTTTTTCAGATATTTTGCTTTTACCTTAAATATATTCTTTGTTTTTATTCTTATGTAAATATTTGTGTACTGGATATTCTCCACAGGACATTTTTATTTAAATGTCCTATTACAAACAGCACATTAAAATCCTTTACCACAACAAGAGCACTGCAATGAAAGAAATTTCCCTGAAAATCCTTTTATTTTATTCCTTAGTGAAAATTATCAGTAAAATGTTATACAGTGTTTTCATGAGTACATAAAGTCAGTAAAAATTACATTAAGGTACATTAAGGTGACATGCTGCAACTTCTCACTGAGATGAAAAAAACACAGATATGGTAATGTTTCACAGACTGTTTTGAAAGGAGGCTACAAATGAAAGATGCAACAGTTTCTCCTCAGGGATGAGAACATACAACAC